TAAGAGTTTGAGGAACCTCCTGGCTTCACTTTCTAGAATTTTGCTGCCCATGCTTGGCTCTCGGGGGCATATCACAAAGCTTACCTCTACCCAGAGGCTCCATCATTCCCACCCTGCTCACACACTGATGATTGGTCCATGTGGCTTTGTTTCAAGGCTTTAGACCTCACATTGATTGGGGTTGAGGTAGAGGGCAGCATCCAGGTCTCTTGTCTTCTTTTCCCTAACCCAGAATGTCTCATTCCTCATCCCAAGGCCTGTGACGATGTTACCTTTGCAGAGACTTAAGGCCGTGGTTCTCGGCCTTCCTAATGCTGTGACCCTTTAATCTATTTCTTCATGTTGTGGCAACCCCCAACCATAAAATTATTTCATTACAACTTCATAACTGTGATTTTGCTGCTGCTATGAACTGTAACTATCTGAAATGTGACTCCCGTGGAAGGCTCGTTAGACCCTCAAAGGGATCTCCACCCACACATTGAGAACTGCTGACTCAGGTTGTAGGCAAAAGGAACTAAGGTTGCTAGTAAGTTGACATTAGAATAAAGAGACATTCTAGTGCCAGTTGGATGGATGCGGTTTGTCACAGGGGTCCCTGAAAGTGGAAAGGAGGGAAGAGAGAGAAGATGTGCTAACAGGAACAGCAGTCATGTGATGTGATCTGAAGAGGTTCCTGTCCACCACTGCAAGTTCTGGAGATGGAAAGATGTCCACAGCCTAGGGAATTGGAAGCTTCTAGAAACTGAAAAAGATGAGGTGACCCCTTTGAGCTCCCTACAAAAAACGGAATTCAGCCTGGGGACAGATTGATTTTAATCCAGTAAAAGCCACATGGACTCCCAGAGTTGTAAGATGTGTGTTATTTTCAAGCAATCCTGTTTGTGGCAATCTGCTTTAGCAGGGGCCAAACCAGGAAAGCACCATGGTCTAAAACCTTGTGTGGAGTCAGACAACCCTGCGTTAAAATCCTAGCTCACATGCTTACTAGCTGTGTAGCCCTGAGCAAACCGATTTCTGAAGTGTCATTTTCCTCATCTATAGAGCAGGAATGACCCTGTAGCATAGGGTTGTATAAGAATTTAAACAGATTCGGTCATTGTGGTGCCCGCCTTTAATCTAGCACTCAGGAAGCAGAGGCAGGAAGATCTCTGTGAGATCGAGGCCAGTCTGATCTACACAGTGAACTCCAGAACATGTAGGTGGACCCTGTCTTAAAAAATTTTTTTTCAAGAAGAACATGCAAGATGTCTCATTAGGAAAGGGACTTTGCTGTGCAAGCCGGGTGACAAAGTTCAATCACTAGGACAGACCTGAAAGTGGAAGAAGAAAATCACCTCCACAAAGTTATCCTCTGACCTCCGCTCACACTGGGTGGCACAGGTACCCATGCACGCACGAGCACAGTATATATGCTTTAACCTAACACCAGAGCATTTGTTGGCTGGCAGCCGCATCTTTGGTGGCTAGTGCAGATAGTGAGGTGCCCAGGCTCTTCTGGAATCCCCAAGAAGGTGCTGGTGATGGAAGAGAAGCGTCTTACCTTTCAGGGCCATTCATCGTCCACACCTGGTCCCTTTGGAAACCATGGCACCAGCAGGAATCTAGGTGACATATGCAGCGTCTCCTTCAATATAAGCATAGGCTAGGTAACACACGGCTCCCAGAGACACAGTCAGGAAAGGTTCCTTGCAGTCAAACTGCAGAGGGCTGATTACAGGCACTGCTTACATTGCCAGAGCCCCTCAGGCCCTCCGCCCTCATTAGCTTCAAACTGGTGGTGCAATCTGAGTCCCCTGACACCCTGGGGGTAATAGATGGTGCCTATCACCACTCGTCAAGGTGATCTGCACAGCCGCTACCTTGGCTCATCAGATGGCGGGACAGGAAGTTCTAACCACAGGCCCACCACCACCATCATCATCATCTTCTCACTGGTCCTACTAAGTGATAGCCACTTTGTTGTGTCTCGATCTTGGAGCTTCACAAAGTCAGAAGTGTTCAACTTGATCCTCAGGTCTGAGTCAGACCTGTGCTCCCATCCTCCAACCTGTGCCGGCCTCCCTGTGGCCTTGGGGTTGCTCCCATATGCTGGAGACCTTACAGGTAGACCCTAGGGGCTACTTATGTTGCCTCCTGTGCTGCCTGCATCTCTGGGGTGGGTAACTGAAGGAGGGCCTTGTGGCTTAGGACTCTGTCTCAGAGCAGACCTTTGCGTCAAAACAAATGGCTGCCAGCAGCCGCCAGAGCACCCGAGGAAAGTTCACAACTTTTAGAGGCAGATCCCAGAAGTAGATTTTTATGCTGAGGCACGATAGGGACAGCGCTTAGTCCAGTGGGGTCCATGGTCCTTCAGCACTGCAGTCACAGTGACAGGGGTATAGTGGAGAGATGTAGGGAGATGTCGCTTGTCTTTGCCTACTTTGTGGGCTCTTCTTTCTTTCACCCTTTCAACCCCCTAACACTAGATAGGAGAGGAAAATGGGTAGAAAGGAAACGGGGTGATGTTATCATCAGACCACATCCTGCTGATTAAAGGTGTTGTGTTCCTTTGGGCAAGTTTGTTCTTCACCATCAAGATATCTAATTTCTTGTTTCTTTTTTGTGTGCAACTACTTAGCAAACTGAAACCAACCACCCACCAAAAACCCACCATACCTTTTGGGGCCCTGACATTTATATAACTTCTGAAAAGTCCCCAGAATTCACACAATCGCAGAAACTATCGGCAGCTGGAAAAATCACACCCCTGCTGGAGCATGAGGCAAATCATTGTCAGCTGCTGTGAGTGCAAGACTAGCCTGGGCTACATAGTCAAGTTTCACTCACCTAAGTTATATAAAAGACTGTGTCTTTTAAAATCAAGGGAGGGAAAGGAAGGAATAAAGAGATCCACAGGTGATAGGCCTGGTCCCATTCAGTTCCTCCATCTTCCTCTCCCACCCTGCCCTGCACGGTGGGTGGCTTCCCTTCACATTCTTTACAGCCGAAGGGCAGGGGCCTGGAAGGAGGGCAGGGCCTTGCTTTTCTTGGTGCTACGGCAGTGTGTGGCAGGCTTATTGCTATTATATAATTGTAGGTTTTACTGGAGACGTTTGTAAAGAGAAGAGACTCATGGGGCCTCTGGGGTTCGTGAGGCCACTGTGAAGTATAATACTGAAGATAAAATACCAGTGCCAAAGTACCCACAAGGACTCTGTTTTCTCTTACTACATGGGTATTTCATAGGGCATGGACTAAGAAATCCCTCCACCAATATGCCCAAGGCTCCGTGGGTTTGCTGGGTCTGCCTAGTCCCCCAGCAATGTAAATTTGCTAGCAGAGATAGGACATTTTTCTGGTCCCTGGGTGTCCTGGAGGAGGTTCACAATTCTATTACTGGTTAAAGGTGTGGGTGTAGTGTTTGTGTGTCCTGCTGAGCTGGGCCACACTGCAGGGAGGACCAGAGGTGCTCTCTGTGACCAGGTATGACCCAGGAAGCAGTCACCACCAATCTTATATTCTTCCCTCCCACGTGTGACACCATGGACAGCCAAGTACACTCGAGACCCCAGGCATGACATCTGACTCTAGCAGATGGCTTTCTAGAACAAGTGGCAGCCTTGTTGTAACATAAGACCTCCAATTAGCAATTGATGTAGTGACGGTTGAGAAGGTCTGTTATGTGCTAGTGTTTCTTGGCAGAATCCTCAGCTAACACTGCCCTGTACAGGACTATAGCAGTTTGTTCTCTGGAGAAGACAGGTCCTAGACATCACAGTGATATCATGTCCCCTGGGCCATCTATGTGTGGTGTGCTTGGGCTCCAGGTGTACTGTGTGATGGGCTTTCAAGGACCCTGCTTTGGAAGGAGATAGTTAAGCCAAGAGAACAAGGCCCCTGACATCAGCGTTAGACTTCATTCACAGTTCAGTCAGTCAGTCAGTCAAATAGTAATCCTTTAGTGGTTAGGCTCCGTCCATGAAACTCTGGCTCATGGGGCCTGAGTTTTTCCACATGTAACTGAGGGGCTGGACTGGAGAGCTTTCTACAGTTTAGCTGGTGTGGTAAGCTGGCGGGGTTCTTCTTGGTCAGTGCTCAGACCACATACCCTATCCTGCCCAGAGCTTTGACTCCGACATCACTGCTCTGTGGGTCCGTAGAGAAGGTCCCATTTGCCCATCCAGTTTAGTGTTGACTAGGGAACTTTGCAGAACACTGATTTGTTCAGACTGTTTAATTAGGCTAGAGCCTGCCATTGCATACATTAAAAAAAAAATAGGCTCTGAGTGTTTTCTGACAAATGTGTCCAGGGCTGAGCCCCACTAACCGAGATGTTAGAGGCTGGGAGGAAGTGTTTGAGGTTAGGAGTGCCAACAGTCAGGTTTCCTGTCCTTACCTGTTGCTAGTTTGCCAGCCAGCGACCACAGACCTGAGGGACTTCAGTGAAAACTCCAAGAGTGGGGTTCAATCTTCTGTGTCTCCTGATGTCTAGCATGGTGCCTGAGGTGGTGATAGCTAGAATTTAGGTACCCAGCTCCTGCTGAGGCCTCATTCCAAGGCTCAGTGTTTTCCCAGAGGTTGCTCCCTGACTCCACCTGGAGCGTGTAGAAAGCCTAGGGTGTGTGAAGGGATCCGCTGTCACCGGCATCCTCCTGCTGGCGGGGTGGTTCCTCAGCAACCGCCCAGCCTGACACCAGATTGGAGTTCACATGATTCTGCATCAGCTCAGGAACGGGTAGCTTCCAGCTGGGGATTTTCTAGATGAGCTGGGAGGTTTTTTGTTTTTTTTTTTTTCCTGCAGGAATCGAGAGAGGGAGAGCTCGTCCGTCCGTGTGCAGGGTTGTTCAGGCACTGCCAAGTTGAGCCGTAGGAGTACAGCTGCTGAGGGATGACGGTAGAGCCCAGCCGGATGGGCTGAATCAGAACCGACTCTTGCTAGGTTCTCTCTCACAGAACTCTCAGGGCAGCTGAGGGTGGACCTCGCTGCTGGCTCCCCGTTTCCTCAACTGGCTGTGGACTCCCCGCTGCCTTCCTTTGCCTTCCCAGGAGGCTCTGGAAAAAGCCAATCAGTGTGGGTATGGGGCTGGATAGTTTCCAAACTGACCCACTTGTGGGGCAGAAATCAATTTAATAGCTCAAGACCTGTTCTTAAAGAAATGAAACGGAAGAGACAATACTAGTGTGAAAAACAAGCATCAGGTAAGCATTGCGTGGGGGGAGTTTCTTATTCCGTGTGTGTGTGTGTGTGTGTGTGTGTGTCTATGTGTGTATGTCTGTGTATCTGTGTCTGTGTGTGTCTCTGTGTGTGTGTGTGTACAGAGCCACACTCTCAGTGTATTTCTTGTTATTGTTTGTGGTGTGGTTTTGTTATTTTTTTTTCAAAGGTAGCAATTGAGTACCTGGTTGCTTTTGTTCTGGATACAGAGTCACCCTGACTTACTGTGTAAGCTCCAGGACCTGGTTCAGCCTCCTTGGGCTTCAGGTTCTAGGAAATGGGTTAGCAATGACAGCCCCACCCAATTTACAGGGATTTGCTAAGACTCTGAAACTGTTACAGGATATTAGGAACGAGACTGAATTGTCTTTGTTATTAAAGAGGTGAGATTATTTTGGAGGGGTGAAAGGTGGAAATATAAGAAAAAAAATAGTTGATTTCTGTTCCTTCGGGGAAATTCCTTGTAAACCTGTCTTCGTGGGACAACTGGGTACCCCAGTTCCTCTGGAAACAGCCTGTGTAAATGTCTGGAGGTTTGGCCAGCTGAGGGAAGGGAACCAGGCATATAGGAAATCCCCAGCTCTGCGGGCTGAGGCTCTGAGTGGTCCCTGGCACCAGGAGATTCTGTCTGAGCACATGCCAGTGTGGTACACAGAGGGATGGGTCTCGGGGAGATAGTTATTCACGAGCTAGGAGAGATCCAACTCTCTATCTCTGAGTCCTACCTGGAAGCAGCTTCTGTCAGAGAGTTGCTTCCTTCCTGTCAGGGTTTCATCTGGTCATTAAAACCCGTGGCAATATCTACCTGATTGATTTGCATGTGTGTAAGGATCTGTCTCTAGGTATTGTGTCGACTTCTGTGCATTTCTTCTTAGTTCCTCAGTTAGATGGTAAAGAGATGTTTCCACCACTTTTTGCACATCCCTCCACTATGGGAGACTAAGGACAGGGGGCATAGTAGGTCACACCCTCCAGGGTCGGAGGCTAACCCACCGCAAAACCTACTGGTCCCTGTGGTAGCATCTGTTGAAGCCTGGAGGCTGAAGCTGGTTGCTCAGTGGTGCTCCTGATCAAGGGTCAGAAAGTCGGAGACAAAGTTTAAAGCCTGACCTGCCATATTCCAGCTGTGGGATTTCCAGGGGGCTGGCCTGTCTCTGACCATCTGGGTTCTCATCGAAGAGGTGGAATGTCATAGAGAACTGTGCCTGGTTAACAGAGGACTCCATGCAAACGAGCCTCAGTGTTTCCACTTTGAAATACGATTGTGTCTAAGATGTGTTGAGTTTTTGAGTTGAGTTTTTGTGAGAGAAAGCTCTCCTGGAGTCCAGGTAGAAAAGGGACAGTCCTGGGAAGACATGGCTTCTACTGCGGGACTTCATCCTCAGAAGTGGCAGGAAGGTGAGGGGCTGTGATAGGGAGACTCTGTCCAGCTCAAGCAGCCCTAGAAATCTCCCCATGTCACTTCCCTACCTCTGTTAGTGACATCACTACTCTAGCACCCAGCCTCAAAATCCCCACCCATCTACCTATGCACCCATCCCTCCAACTCTGTCTCCTTTCTCATCTATGCCTCACTCACCAACACTTGCATCAATGGTACCTACCCATTCATTCATGCATGCATTCATCTGCCCACTCACCCACATTCCCACCCGTTCATCCACTCACTCATCTGTCCGTCTACTTCCCACCCAGCAACTCGACACACTTACCTGTCTACCTACCTACCCATCTAACAATTCTTGAGAGGCTAGAGAATCAAGCATCGAGGAACGTCTCCATTTCCCCTACCGTTCCATTCCTTTCTAATTGGTTGGCATTCTTGTCTCCTCTCTGGCCTCTTGTCTCCTGTCTGCCTTATATCTACATCCTTTCACGGCAAGCTACTTCCAGTTCCCCAAAGGTACTCATTTTCTCTCTCTTGCACTTGATGGCGTGCACACATTTTCCACAGGCAGAAACTCCCCACTCTTTGGTCAGCTCTTCCTCTTTCTCTTAGCCTTAGTCTGACTGTTGCTGCTCTGGAAGGTTTTCCTTACTGCATTAGGCTACCTCCAAAGAACTCCTACAAAATCTGGTGCTTGTCCTGAGTTTACTTCATCTATCTGCTCCTCTTCATGGGCCTAGAATGAAGTTGGCTGTTAGGGCCAGTGTACAGTGTAGTGCCTTCATACAGTGGACATTCAGTCACTGTTCTAGGAAGAGTATTTGGATGGATAGATAGAGGTGGGTGGCTGAATGGATAAATGGGTGGATAGATGATGGATGGATGAACAAATGATGGATGGATGCATGGATGGATGATGGATTGATTGATGGATGAATGATTGATGGATGCATACATGACTGATGGATGGATGGATGGATGGATGGATGGATGGACAGATGGATGGATGAGTGAGTGAGTGATTGAGTGAGTGAGTGAATGGGTGAATGGGTGAATGGGTGAATGGGTGAATGATTGGACAGCCAATTTTTGACTTGGTTAGTCTTATGGTTTGGAAGATGGCTTTTAGGTGGTGAATTGTAGACATGGGCCTGACTTAAGGCAGTTGCACTGACTTCAGGAAAGAAGTCTTGATCAAGCCTTAGGACCTGGTGAGAGAAAGGGAGAAAGAAGAGATACTTTCAAACACTTAGTTGAAAATTCTATAAGTTGGCAGTTTACTTAAGTGAAAGATGATGGGGAAAGCCAAAGCCCGTCCATTCATGGTGAATAACTGGGCAAGGGGGGACGGACATCTTTTCTAAAGACAGGTTAGTGGACAAGATGTTGGTCCAGGTCTGGACCCCACTGAGCATGTCCTGTGGTGTAGCAGGAGTGGTTTGTGCAGCCTCCAGCCTCGGGAGAGCAGTGAGAGGCATCAGTGTGTAATGGGATTAGAAATATGGAAAGTATGTGTGGAGTACCAAGAGTGTGCCGACACTGAGTGTCACAAGGATGAAGACACACCCTTGCCTCCACCAGACACTCCCTCTCTTGGCAGTGATTAGTGCATGTGGCCTTCCTGACTTCTGGGCTTGGGAGTTCCCTGGGGGTGGGAGCTCTTTCTCATTTTATTTAAGTCCCTCATGTATGTAGCCTGACCCTGTGAACACTGTACATGTTTCACAAATACCTGCTCCAGGAAACCTGGAGGTACTGGACTGTTGAGCAAACTGTCTCTTTGGACTCACATTACCTTATGTCTTAAATAGAAACACACACACACACACACACACACACACACACACACAAAACCAAAAAACCAAAAGCCAAAACAAACAAAAAAACCAGGGTTCTGAAGGTGCAGCCAGAGTACAGAAATGGATTCTTAATGCAGGAAACATTTTGCAAGCTAAAGGAACAAGCAAGCACAGGAACACTCGCAGTCACCGCCCCATGAGGGCCCTGGGAGAAGCAGAAGCAGTATAGAAATGCCCAGGGCCCGTGCCCTTGTTCTGCCCAAAGTCCCCGCTAGGTTTTAAGTCCCTTCCCACTGCCTCTGCTCCCTGCCTCTGGAACTCATGAAGGGAGGCTTGCTCGGAATCTGAGCTCATGACCTTCTAGACTCTTCTAGTGCCTCGCTACTCAGAAAGTGTGACCCATGGTCCAGCAAACCTGCGTCTCCTGCATCTCCTAGGAGACTGTTTGAGATGGAAGTTTTTCAAGTGCCCCTTTCTCAGACCCAGCCAGTTTGGAAACTCTGGAGTACAAGACTCTGCAATGTCTTAAACCTTCAGTGGATTCCATTGCAGACAGTTCAACAACTGTTGTTCTTTTTTGATCCAACGTGAACGTGGGAGATACCTCGGCCTCACTGTAGTCAGTGCTGCTTCTTGGCTCTGCAGGCTTGAACATTTCTGACTCTGGTTGCAAGAAGTAGCTTACTGCTGGCTTAGGAAAAAGGAAGCTACAAACCTCACCCACCCTACCCCACACGGCCATACACTCACCACTCGTAAACAACAGAGTGGGGCCTGGTGACTATCAGGGAATTTCCAAGACCTGACAGGACATGTTTCAAGGCCGAGGCTTTGTCTGCTCTGGTCTGTGGAATCTTGAAGCCTGTGCTCCCCTCACCCCTTTTCTTTCCCATTTCATGTGATGTGTGTGTATGTGTGTATATGTATGCATGTGTGTGTGCATGTCTGTGTGTGTCTCTCTGTACATTCATTCTTCATGTGTGTGTCTGCATGTGTATGTATGTTGTGTGTCTGTGTGTGTGTCTCTATATATTCGTAAGTATTTGCTTGTGTTTGTGTCTGCATGTGTGTGTCTGTGTGCATGTGTGTGTGCGTGTGTGTGTGTGTATGTCTGTGAGTGTGTCTTCATGTGTATGTCTATCTATGTGTGGAACCCCAAAGTTGATGTCAAGAAACATCTCCAGTCAACTTCCTTTTTTATTTATTAAAGTCTCTAAATCAAACACAGGACTCCCGGAAATGGTCGGCCAGCTTGTTCTTGGCACCTCCTATCTCTGCTGTTCAAGCCTAGAATTATAGGTGGTTTGCCATACCCACCTGTCATTTACTGTGTTCTGGGGGTCTGAACTCATCTAACTCTTGTATGGGATGTGTGCGAAGGTCAGAGGACAACTGTGGGACTCTGTTCTCTCCTTCCACCATTTTGGCCAAGGGGCTTAAACTCAGGTAATCATGCTTGGTGACAAGTGCCTTTGCCAGTTGAGCCATCTCACTGGTCCAGGCCCCCCCTTTTGAACCCTACTTTCCTCACCTGGAAAATGAGAAATAACTCTTACCTAGTCATCAAAGAAGTCTCTAAATAGTCCATACTGCAAGGGGCAGGGGTGTCATTTCTCAGTAACAAATGGAAAAGACCTCTGCTAAGTGAGAATTTTCATCCCTGGGAAAACCGGCCATGAAAAGGCACACATGTTAAATAAATAAGAAACACTTAAACAAATCTGAAACACTTGTGAAGCCATCAGACAGGATAATGAAGTGGAGACAGGCAGTGTGTATTTGTGTGTGTGTGTGTGTGTGTGTGCGCGCGCGCGTGCGTGCGTGCGTGCATGCATGCTCTAGGTGGGTGCCGGGGAAGACCTTTCCAGGAAATGAAAGTTACCATATCTCCAGTAGAGAAGAAGCAGGTGCTGTGGTGGGTGGTGCCATAGTGACTCGAACTTTGGGAAGGAATAGATAGACAAGATCCAGGTGCAGGGACTGAGGACAGGAGGCAGGTTCTGTGTCCTCAAGGTGGGGGTGGCGGGCAAGGTTGAGGAGCTGATACAAGTTGTTGGGCCTCATGGATCTGGCAGGGGTGCCTGGATTTTAGTCTGTGTGTGAGAGAGGCTGCTTCCAAGTGTGTAAACAAGAGATGGTTTGGGATGCTTCTCCGGAGGGTGGCTACGACTGGCGTGGGCCTGGATGAGAGGGCTGGGATGGGGTTGAGTAGAGGCAGAGAGGAGGTGAAGAGGAAAGCTAGGGTAGAGGCTGGAGAGGATCTGGAGTTGCTTCTGAGGAAAGAAGTCGGATGGGGTGAGAGGAGGGAAGAGCTTGGGTGGAGGAGGGCTTCTTGTATAAGTCAGAGGGAGTCTGAATTCAGGTGACAGAAAGAGTGGCTTTGGACTAGACCCATTTCCTGCTCATTTAAAAATCAATGAGAATTCTGGTCCCTTTATCCAGGAAAAGTGATTACACAGTGGTCTACCTTATCCTAAGGGCACATATCCAACACCCCCAGCAGATGCAGAAAACCACAGGTGTGTAGAACTGACTTCTCTTTACACCATGAGTTATCAAACATGTATGAACTTATGCCCATGATACAACTTAATTTGTATATGAGACATAGGAAGAGGTGAGTAACAACTGGTAATAAGTAGAATAATTACAGCAGGATGCTGTAATGAATTTATGTGAACATGGTTTTTCCCTGTCAAAATGTCGTTTTGGTTTTAGACAGAATTTTACTATCTAATTAGCCCAGGCTGGACTTGAACTCACAGTGATCCTCCTGCCTCTGTCTCTAATTATTGAGATTATAGATATGTGGATATGTTCTACTACTTGTGTGTGTGTGTGTGTGTGTATGTGTGTGTGTGTAACATATGTGATTGGTGGTATTTGTTTTCATTATTTAAGTGTTTAAGTGACTGGTTCTTGCTCCGTCCCTCAAGGTGGTACTGAAACCACTTGCCTCAGCATCTTAAGTTCAAAATACATTAGTGTGCTACACTCACCCATCTTTTTTTCTCTCAATCACAGTTAACCTTGGGTGGCTGAGATCAGGGATACAGAACCACAGGTCAGAGCAGGTGACTGTGCATAGTTATCTACAAGGTTGAGAATGACTTCAGTGCTCACCGTGGTAGTCCTCAGGCACCTTGGGACTGGAACTGTGGGGTGCAGATTTCTCTGGGCCCCTTCTCATGTTGGGCCAGCATCTCTGCCCATCTCTGCTCTGGTGGTCCACCCTCTAACCTAGCTTTCCTTTCCACCTCATCTCTGCCTCTATCCAAGCCCATCCCATCCCTCCCACTCAGGCCCATGTCAGACAGGCAGGCAGGCAGGCAGGCATCAAGGGAAGAAGTCGGGAGGTGGTGGTGGTGAGGAGAGCTGGGGTACTGGGGTGGAGGAGAAAGCTTGGCTTTGGAGAGAGCTACAAGAACGTGGAGCCTTGTGACCCGCTGAGACTTGGTCATGGTTTTTTGGAGGTCTCCCTCTGGAGCCCAGCTAGCCCTCTGCTTTCCGAAGAGAGCACAAAGGCCAGTTATAGGCATCACACAACAGCTTAATTTAGACTTTTCAGCCAGGTAGATTGTAGGTTCTACAGGGGAAGGAAAATCAGTTCTTGGCTAGGGGTATGGTGATGAAAAAAATCTGAATGCTCATGGAGTCATGTCACCTTCCAGATGACATCAGCATGAGCATTCAGGAACCTGTGGCAGTAAATTTCATAAGGAGACAGCAAATACCTGAACCTAAAAGGGCTTCTTCAAGGAATATAATGCCCAAAAGCCTTTACACTGCCAATTTGTTAGAACAGATGGCACATGCTGTCACCCCAGCACTGAGGAGCCGGAAGAAGGAGGTTTACGAGTTTGACACCCCAGTCCCTGCTACACGGTGAGACAAAGCTGTTCAAAAATAATCACTGTAATAAAGACTAAAAAGAGAGCAAAAGTGGTGATACAGCCGGGTGAGATTTTTCCAGCTGAGAGAGAAGGGTTAAATCAGTAGGACAGTTCAAGCTTCTACTGTTTTGATAGACTAATTTTTCAAATACACTGGCAACAAACCATTCCACTCTATCCTTAGATATGATTGTGGTCTGGAGTTCCCTTAGTTAAACTCTCAATGCAGTAAACAACTCACTAATTTAGTAAAGAAACAGAGTATCTTTGAGTCTTCCTTTTGCCCCGGAATAACATTGCTACTCACCAGCTTTGCCCTGACAAGGAGGATTACCATGCACCCTCCCATCCATCCTCCTCCTGATACTGATCGAAAGGGAAGGTTTTTGTCTTTAGATTTATTTATTTATTCTATGTCTATGAGTACACTGTAGCTGTCTTCAGAGACAGCAGAAGAGGGCATCGGATCCCATTACAGATGGTTGTGAGCCACCATGTGGTTGTTGGGAATTGAACTCAGGTCCTCTGGAAGAGCAGTCAGTGCTCTTAACTACTGAGCCATCTCTCCAGCCCCAGGGAAGGGGTTTTTAATCCTCAAATTCCAGATGAGGAAACTGAGCCTCATAAATGGCTAAGCACTCACAAACTTAGGCAAATGCCTGGCCCCGGCTTGACATTCGATTCTTACGATCTCTAGTCTAGAACCTTGTCCAAGATCCATTGAGGAGATGAGAGAGATAACCCAGGAAACTCAGGCAGGGCCCTGTGAGGAGAAACTATCCTTTATTCCTTGCCAAAGCAGAGAAGGATGTGGACCAGGGCATTTTTTTTTCTTCTCATGCCCTGTGGAGCGGTCCCTGGAATGGCTGTGACCTCATTGTTTGGCCTAGTTACTACGGTCTTACAATGTTAGACCGTTATTACTATGCAAGATGACAAAGCCCTGGCACTGTGTTCAAGTTTAAAATCCTCTTGCCTCCAGTTTCCTTTGGAGAGCCAGGATCTCCTCCTTGCTTCCATCGCTTATACCAAGGAGGCAGTAAAATAAATAAGGGTCAAGAGATAAATAAGGGGAGGTAGCGATGGGGAGCCCTGCGCTGCACCTTGGTGTTTTGGAATGTCTCGATCTGTTGCACGGGAGTTGCTTAGCTGTTACGGCTTCTAAATGAATATAGCATATAGAACGGTGCCTGACAATGACAGGTGTCACGTAAATGGCAGTTGTGGTTATTCAAGCCTTGTCTACCTTGACTCCTAGGGTCCGCCTACCACCAGTGATGTCTAGATCCTGATACCTTTGCATCACCTTCTATAAACAAGATGGCAGGAGAGAGATTGGCTCCATCTCCAAGCCTGTGAGGAGTAAGGATCCTTCTGGCCCAAAGATGGGGAACATCACTACAGAAAACTCCTCACTCTCTTGCCCCATCGACCACACCATCCACCAGACACTGGCCCCAGTGGTCTATGTGACTGTGCTGGTGGTGGGCTTCCCGGCCAACTGCCTATCCCTCTACTTCGGCTACTTGCAGATCAAGGCCCGGAACGAGCTGGGGGTGTACCTGTGTAACCTGACCATTGCGGACCTGTTCTACATCTGTTCACTCCCCTTCTGGCTGCAGTATGTACTCCAGCATGACAACTGGTCCCACGGTGACCTATCCTGCCAGGTGTGTGGCATCCTCCTCTATGAGAACATTTACATCAGTGTGGGCTTCCTGTGCTGCATCTCCATCGACCGCTACCTGGCTGTGGCCCACCCCTTCCGCTTCCACCAGTTCCGCACCCTGAAGGCAGCCGTGGGTGTCAGTGTGCTCATCTGGGCCAAGGAGCTGCTGACCAGCATCTACTTCCTCAAGCACAAAGAGGTCATTGAGGACGAGGACAAGCACCGAGTCTGCTTTGAGCACTACCCTATCCAGGCCTGGCAGCGTGGCATCAACTACTACCGCTTCCTGGTGGGCTTTCTCTTCCCCATCTGCCTGCTGCTGGCCTCCTACCAGGGCATCCTCCGCGCTGTGCGCCGCAGCCACGGCACACAGAAGAGCCGCAAGGACCAGATTCAGCGGTTGGTGCTCAGCACCGTGGTCATCTTCCTGGCTTGCTTCCTGCCTTACCACGTGCTGCTGCTGGTACGCAGCCTCTGGGAGAGCAGCTGTGAGTTTGCCAAGAGCATCTTCAACATCTATCACTTCTCCCTCCTCCTCACCAGCTTCAACTGTGTAGCTGACCCGGTGCTGTACTGCTTTGTCAGCGAGACCACTCACAGGGACCTAGCCCGCCTCCGAGGAGCCTGCCTAGCCTTCCTTACCTGCTCTAGGACAAGCAGGGCCAGGGAGGCCTACCCTCTGGGTGCCCCTGAGGCCTCTGGGAAAAGTGGGGCCCAGGGCGAGGAACCTGAATTGTTAACCAAGCTCCACTCGGCCTTCCAAACCCCTAATTCACTGGGAGTGGGAGGGCCCTCCACAGTTGGGTTGGCCTAGCTTGAGTCACAGTATGTGAGGCTAAGTTAGGTCTGCGCTTTTACCAACAGGCCTTGTGGTCTGGAGCTTGCATGGTGGCTGTCTCCCACTTTGCCATGTACAGGTGCCTCTCTCCTCAGGAAGGAACCATGGTCTTCAGCCACAGCCAGGTCCCTCTGGCCCCCAGAAGCCTGCTCTGTGTGCTGAGCCTGGGCACTGCTGAGTGTGTGAAAAAGCCCTGTCTTCTCCCATGTTCTTGGCGGCCACCTGGGCTACAGATGGGAGGGAGTCAGAATTGCCACTTCCAGAAGAACAGCAGGCCTGGGGTGTGGAGAGGAGTGTAGGAACCTGCCTGTTTACCTGCCAAGCCTTCCGGTGCCCCTGCTGTCACAGATGATACCAACCCAAATGTGCTGTGGTCTTGTGTGACACAGGAAGCTGTTTCGTCACCATCAGTACTTGAACTTGCCTCTTAAACTAGTCTAGATGAGAAGGCTGGTTAAGGTGAAGAACAGGGGCGGGGTTGGGTCACCAATATTGGTGACCAGGGATAACAGCAGAGAGGCAGTCAGGGAGGAAGCCCCAGCACTAGACATATCCCATTTTACAGGGCTCGTGGAACAGATTTCCCAACCCCAAGGGCTTATGGCAAATAAACCCCAGGGCTCCCTGGAGAGATGCCAGGGGCCGTTCAAAATGTCATAGTAAAGCTTAGTAAGAAGATGTAGGCCCAAAGCTGTGTCCCTAGCCAAGTGCCTGGCACAGGCTTTTCCTAATTCGCTTTTTGTGTCCATCTGGTCAAAGTGCCAGACCCGAGAGCTTAAGGGAAAAGAGAGAGGGAGAATATAAAAACGGTTGGGTGTCCATGGCAACTGTGTGCCAGGGTCATGTTACTGCTGTCAGTAACTCCTACCCTTCTCCCCACGCACCATAGAGCATCCAGCAGCCTTTGAGAGGAGTATGACAGTTTCCCAAAGTTCCTAGGTACAATAAACTAACAACACACACACATACACACACACACACACACACACGATCATGTCTCCTGCACAGGTTTGGCTCAAGCTCCAATTTGGTATAGGAGAGTTAGCAGAGATGGCTGCATGCCAGAAAGACCTACACCTACCCCAGCCTGGGTCCGAATGGGGCCATGGTGATAGCTAAGTGTTCTGTGCCTCTTCATCCCACAGTATTTCCCCATTTCACCTGAAATTCTGGATTCCCACTGGCTTCGAGTGTTTTTGTATTGTCTTCTCTCTAATGCCAAGTATCCCTGTGTTGGACTGTGAGGTGGGTTTATGTAGTGACTTCAGTCTGCAAATAAAACAAAGTAAGCATCATAGCAGAGTGTGTGCAGTTCTTATAGTCAGAAACTCTGCCCATACCGGGAAGATCCAATGTGTCCTCGAAAGACCCCATATAGAAAGGTTCATGGGCAAGTTGGGGCTGCCCTTGAGTGCCTAACAAGCAGTCAAGCCCAAGCCATGAGGACAGTAGGGTTTTCTCTTCTGCCTTGTGGCAAAGCCCATATATCTGTGCAACATGTTGCAAAGCCACTCTGGATGCATCTGTGCAGGGTGTTGTTGCAAATCCACGTTGGGACTTTTAAGGACAACTCCTAGCCCTGTGGTTTAGCAAATGCCACTCCCTCTGTCTTTGACAAGGGGCTTTGTATAGTGAGTAGCTTCCCCTTTCCCCCAGCAAGGGAGAGCCCCATCAGACCAGAAGAAGGGCCTGTTGCATTCATCTCTGCCAGTTCCCCAGAATCAACTGGTTTTGTTTGGAGCCTCCCACCTTGCTTGTTGACAACTGCTGTCTGTGGAGGCACCCTCTCAACAGTGGCAGACTCTGTGTTTATCACTAAGGATCGCCCACATCCTATTGAAGCATAAATTTGATTTTGATCACTTAATCCCTCTGTGGATCAGGCTCCCAGAGTTTTGGAGTGTTATAGAAGGATGGCTCTTTCTTCCAAACAGACTAAGCAAGAATATTATTAAGGATTAATCCTGCTTTCTCTCCTAAGAGAAGGACTGGGAGCAAAAGCCCATCTGGTTTGGACTGGAAGTGACAGAAGCCATTAAAATTCCTTTCTTACTCCCCAGTGTTGCTTAGTAAGACAAGGACTCATCTTCCTGTTTACACACACTGGTTGGCCCGAAAAGAGTAGGAGAAAGCTTCAGCACAGAATACATCTCCATCTGTTGCTTTCCACTGGCTCAGGTTCTAGAGAAAGCCAGAATCTGACACAGTGGCTTTATGCATCTGGAGATGGAGTCTCCATTCCTGGAATTCATCTGGTCTCTGTGTCCAGGGCTCTGGGGGAAATGAGGAGATCTCAGTTTCATTCTCTTTCAGTTAGCAACTATCCTAGGAATTCCACTCTATGAGATATTGGCTATCTGTGATGGAGCATACCAGAGAGGTCACAATACCCAAATTCCTCACTGCAAAGTACCTCTTCTGGGTCCCTCAGTCCAGCCTCTCCATAGACACCAGTAGTGGCAGCTAAGTCACTGCTATGCAGACAAGCCATTCCAGGGCAATCTTAAATGCTAAGGACCTCAGTGAAGAATCACTTTATCTGCCAACTCTGATGTGACATAACCTTCTGGGGACTGTTGTTTGAAGACACTTCTCAATGATAATTCTTCCAACTCAGATTAGGCAAAGTTAGATTCAATTAGAGCAACAGGCAACTCACATCACAATGTCGTCAAGCCCTGGGGTCAATCCCTAGCCCCAAATAATAATGAAAATGACAAACATAAGTGGCCGGTACAAGTTTATTTTATGTTTATAAGATGACTAATAAAAGAGGTCTAAGATGGCAGCTTAATTGGGAAAATGCTTTCCGCATAAGCATGGAAATTGTGTTCAATGTCTAGAGCACACATTAGAGAGAGAGAGAGAGAGAGAGAGAAGAAGGAGGAGGAGGAGGAGGAGGAGGAGGAGGAGGAGGAGGAGGAGGAGGAGGAGGGAGGGAGGGAGGCAGGAAGGCAGGCAGGCAGGCAGGCAGGCAACACTTGGGAGGCAAAGGCAGATGGATCTTCGTGAGTTTGAGGCCGACCTGGTCTACATAGTAATTCTAGGACAGTCAGAGCCACATAATGAGATCCAAAATACATATACATAGTGAGTCTCAAAGTAACAACAAACTAAAAAGCCCACAAAACCAAACAACAACAACAAACCAGCCAGGCTCTGATGCTTACACCTTTACTGCCAGGTATGGAGATGTGGAGACAGATCCCAGGGGCTTGCCAGCCAGCCAGTCTAGCTGAATCAGTGAGCTCCAGGTCCAGAGAAAGACCCTTGCCCAAAAAAGGAAGTAGAAAACCATTAGGGAAGGCATCCAACGACAGCTTCTGCTCTCCACAGTGGTGTGTTCGTGCCCACACTCATACATGCACACATACACACACATACACACACACTATTTTCTTAAAGTCCAGTGAGCAGCTGCTTTCTGGAAAGTGATTTTCCCAAGTGATGACAGCGATTCAAAATCCTACCATGGGCCGGGCGGTGGTGGCGCACGCCTTTAATCCCAGCACTCGGGAGGCAGAGGCAGGCGGATTTCTGAGTTCGAGGCCAGCCTGGTCTACAGAGTGAGTTCCAGGACAGCCCGGGCTATACAGAGAAACCCTGTCTCGAAAAACAAAAAAAAAAAAAAAAAAAAAAACAAAACAAAATCCTACCATGAACCAATTCTGTTCCTGTAAAGAACGGTAGAGATGTGCCACTGTCTCCTGCCCGAAGAGTTAATTCAGCTGCAAAATTCAGGAAGATGGGACCTCTCTTAGGAAGATGTGCCCATCTCAACCCACGCTAAAAAGGTAACCGCAATAACTATCCATTTACTAAAATACTGTACTTTATCCTTCCTGTAATTCCTGTCTCCTAGCACAGTCTGTAAGAGCAGCCCTGGGGCTCAACTGGCTCTGCCCATCCTTCTGTGTCCTGTCTCAGAAAGAGACAACTGTCCCGGTTTCTTTTTTTTCTGTCTCTTTCTTGCAGATGTTGACCAGGACCTAAGCATCCCTCTCCTGGTACTTCAGGCTTCCCCCTTATTCGTTCTCCCCTTGTCTTGTCCATTTTCCCCTCTGGGCACCTGCTGAGATTTACGGATGTCCCGCCCTGGAGTTTCCTTTTAAGCTCCTGTACAATCATACTCAAGTCATTCCATTTGAGTTCATTCTTAAAGTACTTTATCAACAAGACTGAGAACCCTAAGAAGGAACTCCAATTTCCCTGACATCATCTGGTCATCATAAAGGGATACCCCAGAATTTTTCAGTAGTTCCATAATAGCAGGATTCCCCCTGCCCATCTACACAGGTAGGAGAAGTGTAAAGAAATGCCACATGCAATTATGGCCAAGGGTGGAAGTGTTTGACAGCCTCATTACTCATATCCCATTAACCTGATCCTGGTCATATGAGCCCCAGCTACAAGGGAGTCTGGGAAATGTAGTTTTTCTAGGTGATAAGCCAAGGAGAGGTGAAATTGGTGAACATTTGGCCAATAGTTCAAATCACCTCTACTTTAGGTCTTAAGCTGTCATCTGATCCCAACAAAATCTACTTCTTCAAATGTGATGCCTGGGCCAGATGTCATCCTCCCTGATGTCATCTACCTTGCCCCAAGGACCATATTCCTCTGCTTCTACACTTCTGGGAGGCACGTCCCATCAGGGATGTAGAGAATGTACAGTTTGCTAATAAGCCACACATTCTCCATCCAGCATACAGAGCAATGAACTTCAAGAAGAGGCCAGCAGAAGCCATGCACACTGGGCAGGAAGTAGCAGATACAATGGGCTGGGCTAACTTGGGGTTGGCAGGCAATGGGAGGCAAGAGGTGACCTCAGAGGAATGCCTTTCCTAGCTGAGCAACAGAATGTCAGCTGTGGTCAGGACAGCCAGGGATAGGGAGCTGGCACACTTGTGTAGAGCAGGCTACCTCAATAAGCCGGGTCACCAGCTTGCTTGTGAACACCAACTGTATGCCCTATGTACTATTTCCTAGGATTCCTCTCCACAACACCCTGAAAAGCCCACAGATTCCATTTACCCAGCAATGGCTGGAACCAGGCTCTCTCTCACCCTGGGTGACATCACAGTTCCCCTGCAGGCCATTTCTTGTTCTTGTCACTGATTTCTGGAGGTGGTAGCCATCACAGACATGAACACAACCATTTCTCCTGAGGACAGACGAGGCTAGAACAAGGTTTGAGTGGGAATCACATCGTGGAATGGAAAAGTTTTAGAACCAGGTCCCAGAAAGCGGAGCACCAACAGCCCCTGGTATGGATACCGAGAAGGGGTTCCCCCAACTCCTTTGTACCTCAGCCTCAGCATAAGCACTGAGTCTGCATACACCCATAGCAGACAGCATTTGTACTGTTTCCCAGGATGTACTGTGTCCCGCTCAGAACCTGCCTTCTCTGAACTTAACTGGGTCCTAGCCTTTTTCTTAAGTAGCGCAGCCATCTCTCCAGCCATTTCTTCCCACGGCAAGCATAACTTGTAACCCCGTTACTCCTCAGCTTGCTCAGCGCAGGAGTGGAATTCTGAATTCTGCTATTACTATGCCAAAAGGCAAATCTATGAATATCTCCCTCGAAACATGAATCATAAGATTGTTGGAAGCTTTTCCACAACGTTGATAGTATCGTAGTCATCCTTTTTTTTTTTAATTGTCAGGGTATCCTCTTTACCAGAGTCCCCTACCCCCTCAGTGTGGAATTAACAAAAATGATAACTCAGAGAGACCTGGGGAGTGAGGCTGCAGAGCCAAGATGTGTTTGCCGAGGTGTGAGGTCTCGGGCGGAAGACTAGCCTTCATTTTGAGTGTCTTCCACAGCACAGGCACGGATCCTGCAAGTGTGAACCCTGCAGGCGTGAATCCTGGCCAGAAGAGCAAACAGAGAACAGACGCTAGAAGTTCATCTAAAGACTTTTCTCTTTACACTTAGGCTTTATTGGAGTGTAAAATCTATGCCATGTGTTCCTTCCTCACAATGAAGGCCCCTTAAAGAACCACACCAGACACGTGTAAAGACATGAAACAATACTACATAGGCTCAGATCCCACACGAGATGCCATCATGATGTCGGGACTAAACGTGTAACGGGGCCTGGCCAGTGGCTCAGTTTCTGATTTTGTTGAGAAATGTAGGTTTGGAGGTTGCGAAAGATCAGGGTGAGCTTGTCTGCCTGAGCCCTGGGGAGGTCTGACTCACCTTTGGGCTCTACTAGAAAGTATGGCTTCCTTCCCCCACAAAGAGGACAAAGAATCCGGCTAGATGTATGAATAGGCAGGCAGGAAGTTTGTGTAAGAAATGTTGAGGTGAATGGGGGTGAGGGACCGGAGGATGTGATGTCTGGAGGGATCTTGTGGGCGATCCCTTCAAACAGTAAATGTATGACTATTAGGAAAAAAAAACATTGCATAGATGTAACAGTTTTGCTGGTGGTGGTGAGTACGAACCCCAGTGTTTTAACCCAACATTCTGTGTGTGAGCTCTCTATCCTTTCTCAATTAGCCAAGGTCATGGTGATGCCTTTTTTTTTCTTTTTTTCTCTTTTTTGAGACAGGCCTGGCTGTCCTGGAACTCACAGAGATCCCCCTGCCTCTGCCCCTGCCTCCCAAGTGCTGGGATTAAAGGTGTGCACCACTACTGCCCTACAGTTAACTGTTACAGGATTATCTCTTAAGTGAGAGGCAGAAAGAGTGTCATAGCAGAGCACAGGGTGGCCTGAAGAAGCCAGGAGGAAGGATAGGTAGAACGATGCCTCTGGAACTCCTGCCTAGACAAAGGCTGGCATCGGGCAGGGACTCTGAATACAAACAGCACAGCTGGTCACATGTGGCCTGTGGTGACATCCACTAGCTTCTGGACCATCTCAGCATGAACATCATGGAAGGGCAGCCCATCAACTTCCATGCCCACGACACCTGAGACTCCACTCCGGACTTGGTTCTGGACCAGGATGCCCAACATTTTTTCTTCCTGGGAGGAAAAACAGAGATGAGGAAGAGACAGAAGATGAGCAGGGAGAGAGAGAAAGAAATGCATAAATGTCTGGGTATAAAAGAAGCTTTGGGTTTGAGATCTGTTTCTGTCTTCTCTCTCTGTCTCTATCTCTCTCCTTCCTTCCTTCCTTCCTTCCTTCCTTCCTTCCTTCCTTCCTTCCTCCCTCCCTCCCTCCCTCCCTCTCTCCCTCCCTTTCTTCCTTCCTTCTTTTCTCCCTCCTCCTTTTTAAAACAGGACCTCTGTAGCCCTGCTTGTCCTAGAGCTCACTCTGTAGACCAGGCTGGCCTCGTGCTCTTAGAGATCTGCCTGCCTCTGCCTGTCAAGTGCTGTGCCTCTTTTTAACAAGTAAAATTTGAGATAAATATTAACTCACTGGAAAGCTCCTTATGAAAATCAAAATCAAGAGCTGAATGTGATGTTCACACCTGTTATCTCTACTTGAGGGACTGAGACAGGAGGATTACAGTCAGTTTGAGACCAGCCTGGGTTATATAATGCGCTCCAGGACTGCCTGGAAGTGAGTGAGAAGGCTTAACCTCTCTATGTCTTGGAAATCTCATCTGACAGCTGGGGTCGTTGCTGACCCTGGTGACAGTATTGCTTTCAGAAGCTGTGGTGGGGACTAAATGAGACACAGGAAGTAAAGCATCCAGCATGGCCCTTGGCACACAGTAGGAATGACGCTGGTTGTCAACATAAAGCCCAGAGCATGCTCTCTTTAACTCACTTGCTGGGTGAGGTTGAGGGGCTGGTCCTGTCTCAAACAAAAGCCAAGCATTTAAACAGATTAGCTGTTTCTTTGGGCACTTACATTCCAGTGACCATATTTAAGGCCTGATAGAGACCTGTATGGTCCTAATGCATACCAGAGATGTAATCCTCCCACTCACCCAGCCCCCAGCCATGCCATGGATGAGCTCCCATGATTCTGATTGTGGCAGAAGGCCCCTCCTGAGATCCCACTGTTAGCCTCTTGAGGGGTGGATGCTAGTTTGACTTTTATTGCTGTGATAAACACCATGACTAAAAGCAATGTGACAGGAAAAAGGTTTGCTTCAGCTTACAACTCTCAGGTCACTCCATCACTGAAGGAAGTCTTGGGGCAGGAACTCAAGGCAGAGGCCATGGCCAGTGAGAGGCTAGCCATCTTCAACCTAGGAAGAGTGTGTCCACCAAGGCACTGACTCTGCCTTCAGCATTGGATTTCCCTGCTTCTAGAACTGGGAGAACTAAGAAGGAACTGTTTGGGCCTCCCAGTCTGTGGTATTTTATTATAGCAGCCTACACTGACTAAGATACAGGGCAACTATCAGAGACATTAAAGGTGAGGAACAAGCCAAGCAAAGGGCCCTGAGGACACCCACCCAGAGCATCACATGACTGTGATGAGGAGCTGGGGACCTGGTTCAGGTAGTAAAGTGCTTGCCACATGGTTATGAAACCCTAATCCTCAGCACTCACGGAAAAGCTGGGAAGGCAGAGACAGGAGGCAGCCCTGGGGTTTGCTGGCTAGCCATTGTAGCCTAAATGGTGAGCACCAGACTTTCTGAGAAACCCTGTCTCAGAAAATAAGAGGGAGGAGATTGAGGAAGACATTTGACGTCAGCCTCTTGTTTCTACATATATGTGAATACACAAGCAAGTGCACCACAGACATGTACACACATGAATATGTACACACACGCACACACACATGCACTGGGGAAGTGTTGACAAATGTTGTCGGGAAACTTTCTCTTGGCCCTGGGGCGGCCTCTCTGTTCTGCCCCTGGGTGAAAGCAGATGTTACCCTGTGACAGGGAAGGGGTAGAAGTACATTTCCACACACATCTTTGTCCAGAGCCCCTGGCAGGGGCTCCTCAGCCCAGACAGGCATCTCTCACCCCTTGTTTGGGCTGGAATCTCCTGCTCCTCCACTACGCATGTGCTCTCTTTACAAGGCAATGCTTCTGGTACCACAGGGCCTGTCCTTACTCTTCTCATCCTTCAGGGACATGGAGGGAGCTGTGGAGTCCTCAGGGTGAGTGTGATCAGCTAACAGGTCAGGAACTGGCTGGCTGGCGTTCCAGCCTCTAAGACCCAGAGGGACCAACTGGGCCAATTGCCACTCCCAGTGAATTTCCAGGAAGGACCATAGCATCTTCTGCAAGACCACTTGAAGGGGCAGCTCCTCCAGGGGCTGGAGCAGAGCTAAGGGCTGCAGTCCTGTCCAGGCTGCTGTAGACAGTGAGGCAGGAGAGCAGGAGGACTGAAGTGAGGTGTGCTGGGCAGGCCTTGAGGATGGGGAAAGAGGCCCCAGGGTCACTTCTGAGCTTAGAGGCACGGTGTGTGGTGACCTGCTAATAATTCACTCTGGAACATGGTGGGCTGATGTCTATGAAAAAGGATTTTTTAAAAAAGCAAATTAGCTTAAAAATAAAAAGTAAGGTTGGAAACTGAGAGTAGCTATAGGTCTAGGTAGTCTGGAGGTGGAAGTTGAGGCAAAGATTGCTTGATCCAGGATTTTAGCCCAAACTGAGGGGTGGGGCTGGGGGTGATGGTGAGAAGTTCCATCTGGGCTCCCGTGTCACTGTGTTCCCTGCCCAGGCTCCTTCCCCAGGGGCCCCGTCTGACTGCTCATTGTTTCCCAGAACCTGCCTGGGTCTGGCCCCCAGGAGGGGCTCAGCAAATGTGGTTCTGCTTTAAAAACATGCCTTTCCATTTCCTCCTTGAGAAGAGGGCATTGTTAATACACGTCTGAAAGGCTGGGTAGCTATGCCAAGAGGAGAATTTTTCCATCCCTGGAGGCTGAGTGTGAGGCTGTGGGGGCTGGCTGGGTGGGTTCACACTTTGTGTTTGTGTGAATCAGGAGTCATGGGGGAGGCTGCCCCCCCCCAATGTTTTCCAGTTCAAATGCAGGAAGCATAAAGAAAGAACAGTTAGCCCTCTGGGTCAGCCAGGGAAGACTAGACCGTTCCCCCCATGAAAATGTCATTTGGGTCTCACACACCCCTCTCCCCCAGGTACCAGCATTCTCAAGGGCTGAGAGACTTCTGGGCCATCTGAGAAAAGTCCCAAGTCTAAATCAGAGAGACTCCAACTCCTGTTTTAGCTCTGTCTCTTATTGGTCTTGGCAAGACTACCACCTAGAGCCCACCAGCTCCCTCCACTATGGAAAAAATAATATCAAGCCAGAGAGGTTCCAAATTCACCAGGAAGGAGGCCAGAGGGACTGCACAAAACAAGATGAAGAAAAAGAAAAAGCAGCTATAAGGCCCTCTAAATATGGGAGATTGTCTGGAATGGGGGGGTCAGGGGCGGTTGGCTGGCTGGGAGACATCACAATTTGTCTGACCCATATTAAACTGCTACACAGCCCTAGAAGCTGACCCAGTCAGTAACCAGCAGGTCTCCAGGTGTCTACACCTCAGAGAAATGGTCTGGAATTGCACTTGTTGGGACAGCCTTAGGCCTCTCAAGTCAGGAGGCAGGAAGACAGGCTTAGTAGCACTGTGAGTTTAACATGCAACTTCCAGTGTGTTCTCTTTTCTTCATGCTTGTGATTGAAGACAGGAGCCCTCAGCTGCTGGCTCCAGCCACCATGCCTGTAGCTTGCCACCATGTTCCCCAGGCATGATGGCTCCTATCTCTCTGGAACTGTTAGCTAAGGCAAATGTCTTCCTCTGTAAGTTACCTGGTCATGGTTTGTTTTGTTTGTTTGTTTGTTTGTTTGTTGTTGTTGTTTTAATCACAGCAACAGAAGAGTAACTAATGCACTCACTGGGGCTCTGGACCTACATGCTGTGCTTCAGAATCTCCATGGGGACCCAACAAGAAGCTAATACTTCACCCATGTCCCATAAGTCTGGCCCACCAGCTGCTTCTCAGAGTAAGGCATGTCCCACCCCTTCAAGAAGCACCCACGGGGGAGAGGTTTGGGGTTGGAATCAGTGTTGGTGAACAGGATGGATCCAGGAGAGAGCCCATCCAGCCATCCCTATACTGCTGAGGCTTGGCACTGAGCTCAGGGCCGGCTGCTCCTTGTGCTTCCCCCTGACATAGCCAACCAAGTTCACTTAAGTTAGACATTCAAGGTCTGCTGCCTGTCCTCTGTTCTAGATGTGTTTAGAACTTCATGCCAGGTTTTAGTTGTTGACTCTGAGGCACATAGAGAAGCCTATGGTAGGCACCTTGCTCAGAAACACACATACACACATGCACGCACACATGCACGCACACATGCACACACGCACACATGCATGCACACACACACGTGCACACACACATACATACTCAGGCATGCACACATATATATGAATGACTTTGAATGCTGTTTTGGGGTTCCTGGGGCCTCTCCTGTGGATCTCAGGCTCAGAAGTCCTCCCCCTGACATCCATCACACCCGTGCCTACAACCTTCCAGCTAGGAGCAGTCTTATCGAGCTGGGGTCAAACTGAGCCTTTGTTCATGTTCTTCCCACCTGGAATTCATTGTCTCACCTCCTCCAAATCTGGTAGATTCCTTCTAGTCTACACTCACAGAGCTCTTTTCCCATCTGATCTGCCCCCACACCTTCAGCATGTGTGACACCCAAGGTGCTCTAGTACCCTGGCAGCAAGGACTCCCACCCCCACTCCTGACCACAACCTGGAGGAAGGTTTTCATGAGTCAGGTATTTCTTACAACAGTGCTGACTGTACTCACTTTACAAAAACTCAGTCTCTGAGAGGGAAAAGCAATTTGCTGAAAGTCAAACTAGAAAGGATCTCTGCAAACAGGTCTTACATAGGACCAGAAGTAGATCAAAGGGTTGTCTGAATCAGTGGCTCAGCCTGGCTCAGCAGGGAGACATTCCCTCAAGGCTAGCTTTGCATAGCACTGTGGTTGATGTGGCAGGGCTTAGACTACTCAGGCCTGATCAGTTCTCATCCAACAAGGAAGTTGTATCATGGCCAGCGGCTTGCTGGAGTGTATTACCTTAGTGACAGATGGCAGGGCCTGAATCCATCTCTCTTCCCCAGCTCCCCTGGAAGGTCCGGTTGCCTTCCTCAGGTAACGGTCATGGACTTGACATGAGTTCAGAATGTATAGTGCACAGGCTAGGGCATAGCCTCCCCAGTTAGAAACACCTAGAATGCAAAAGGAACAAAGTTCCAGCATAGAATTGTGAAGATCCTGGGGTTTACTGGTCTGCCTGCAAGCAACCGATGCCACCTCAGTGCACTGGCACAAACAGGATTACCTCAGAACTTGTTGCAAGTTCTTGGGTCTCAGCCCAGACCTCCTGAATCAGAATTTCTGCAAGATTTCTGGGGTGCAGGTGAATTTTAGGGTGCCCTATAGGTATGCTTGATTCAAGCTAACATTTGAAAGGTATTGCATGAAGCTATACCCTGTTAGTGACTGTTAGAGGAAAAGATACAGCCACCATAGAAAGCTATTCCAGAATTCCCACCATTAAAGCACTGCCCAAGGGCCAATCGCAATCCCTTGGCTACACTTTATCCTGTTCCCTGGGGCATAGAGCAGATAGTCTGTCAAGTGAGGATTGTCACTTCTCTGTCCTAACTCACCATCAGACCTCCTTCCTTAGTCTGTCTGTCAGGCCCCAGGCTCATTCCCCACAGGAGTCTATTTTATCTATTCTCTGACACCTGCTTGAGTTCTCAGCCCTGCCAGAGACTGATGGGGGCTGTTAAGTTCTACGCTCTGCATCATCATTAAGGAAGAGAGGGGATAAGATAGCTCGGTGGGTAAAAACTCTGGCTGCCAAGCTTGGTGACCCAACACTCAAGGGAAACAAGGGAAAAGAGAGTCTTGTTTTGGTTGAATACTTGAGTCTGCCATCCTGCTGCAAATGTCTTGTGTGACTTAGGTCCTAGAGTCCTTAAAGCACACCTATGAGGAATAGTATCTTTGTGCCCGTGTGAGTAACTTAGAAACAGACATGGAAGGGTAAAGGGCACACAGCGAGTACGTTGTAGACATATGATGTCACTCAAGCTATCCCCCTCAGAGCTCAGGTTCCTTTTCTTTTAAAAAATAATTTTTAAAAATATGTAACTGTTAAAATCTACATGACACGAATATAGGAAAACAAAAAACAAACAAACAAACAAACAAAAAAACCCCACCAATGGTTCCTTCCCTGTTCTCACACCAGCAACAGAGAGGGTGATGTGACCACCGAGGGTGTGGATCTCTCTCTCTCTGCCAGGAGTCTAACGGTTTTGTAGCAGTAGATACCTAACCCGAGTGTGATCCAATCCAGTTCAGTTCTGATGCTATGCACTTCAACCATGTCAGAGTCCACAGCCTGGACTGAGGTCTCGGGCTCCAAGACTGCCTCCTCCTCTTCTGATTCCAGTGTCGAGCCCCAGGTTGCTCATCATAGCCTCTGACTGACTGGCTATATATGAGGGTTCTTGAAAGCTCTTATTGGATTTAATTAACTTGCTTCAACAGCCACAGGGGAAGGCTGTTTTATTACAGAGGATGTTATGAAAGATCCAGATGAAAAGATATATTGTTAAAGTGCACAGAAAGAGGCCCGGTGCTCGTTCTGGTTGCTCTGTCCTCCAGGAACATCATGTGTCTGGCTACGTGGGAGCTCTCTGAACTGTTTTGGGCTTTAGTGGAGAACTATGACAGGGTAGGAGCCCAGCAAAACCAGCTTTTTGGGGGCTCTTCTTGGCCTCTCTGTGAAACATCCTTCTTACTGGGTGGGGGACAGGACTCTCCGGACCTGGATGGTCTTATGATCTAGCAGACAGATTGGAGAATTTCTTTCTAGCTGCCTAAACATGGGAGTAAATTCTCACTCTGGAGAGGAGAAATTCTAGTTTCTATGATCTGCCTTGGAGAGGGAGTTATCTAAACCTAGACCTACATGTGAAAACAAAGAAATTATCCATCTATCCATCTATCTATCTATCTATCCATCCATCCATCCATCCATCCATCCATCCATCCATCCATCTATCTATCTATCTATCTATCTATCTATCTATCTATCTATCTATCTAT